AATCGTCAGATCTGAACATTCATAAACGCCACGAGACTTCTCAATAATTACAAAATTGCCACCTTGCAACTTTAGACCATTAGATCATTAGCTTATAAAGTTGATCAATGAACATGAATTGGTCTTACGGGTCTCACGAAAAACCCTTGGTCTCACGTGAACCCAATCCTATATATATATATAGACACACACATACATATGAAAAGGTTCAAACGAGAACAACTTCGTTTTACAAGAACGTAAGAACATCTTTTTACTATAGACGATCCCATGTGATACTATTAGTCCATCACAAATGATACATATGTGATGCTAAATCAGAGACACAAATGACTTTTGACATGATCTACATCGTGGGCCAAGTCGCCCTACACCACTAAGTCACCTCACATGCATTATCATGTATGATAAGGGTGTTATTGATGTGATATTATAATCCATCAAGACTATCATATGTGATACTAAATCATAGATGTAAACGACCTCTGGTGCGATCTACGTCGCAGAACACGTCGTGAGCACACCACCAGGTCCTTTCACGTATATTATCACATGTGATAAGAGTATTCTCGCGTTCTCGTAAAATGAAGGTGTTGTGTTTGAATCTTCATCTACACACACATACACATACACACACACACACACACATATATATATATATATATACATACATATATATATATATATATACATACATATATAGACTTGGGATCATGTGAGACCAGCCTGTTTTCGTGAGACCCGTGAGACCAACATTTTACACTTGAAACTTCACAGCAAAATGCTGTGAAGGTGACTTTTTAAAACCTTCACAGTGTTTTTGCTGTGAAGGTTCGACTTTTTTTAAACCTTCACAGTGTTTTTGCTGTGAAGGTTACGTGTAAAAATGTGGTCTCACGAAAAACAGGCTGGTCTCACGTGAACCCAACCCTACATATATATATACTGCCGCATTAGGAAACGCCTTTAAAAAACCCTTGGTCTCGTCATAACTCGTAAAACTTGAGATTTGAGATTGCCGCCATGTCATACATCGCGTCATTAGAACCTCACTTTTATCATATCTTTTTTTATATCTTTCATACCCTTTTCGTCTCTAATTAAGTGTCCGTATTTTGTTTTTATCTGCCTCAAAATAAATAAGTGTCCAATTTCAAAATTATATAACTAAATTTTCAGATTTATCTTTAATTAATGAACAAATATTTAAGAATTGATAAAATAAATAAATGAATTAAAGATAGAGTTATCATATAATTAACTAAAAATGTAATAACTCCCCATATCAAAATCTCTATGTCACATAAAATATTTAAGACGGAATGAATATTATTTAACTTGATATTGTTATATAAAATAATTTATGATTTAATAAATAATAATAATTCTAACAAAAGTACCCATTAAATGTTTAATATGGTTGCAGAAAATATTATTTAAACCACAAATTTGGTCTGATTGGTTTGTCAAAAATAATATTTTTCATCTTTATAGTTTTGAAATTACATTATGGTCATCTTGGTTTGCAAAAACATTCGGATTTGATCTCTTATTCTAATGATCGTTAAAAAAATTTGTTGAACAAGGGATATTTTTTGTTATTTTATCGCCTTTTTTTATCATTTACCCAATCAAAAACCATAAGGACCGTAGCATAAAATCAATATTGTTTGGATAAAATATTAAAAAAGAACAAAAATGTTCTTTATTTAACGGAGTTCTTTTTAACGGCTGTTAACGAAATGAATCAAATCGGGACATCTTTGCAAACTATGATGGTCATCTTATCATTTCAGAACTGTAGATAAAAAAGGCAAAAAGTCTTATTTAGACAAACCACCACGACTTAATTTGTAGCTTATTCCATTATTTTATTATATACTAACGAATCAAAAGAAAAACTTCCGAACCGTTTAAAAATAAATATGTAATTATTTAAAAAACTATCTATACTATATTATAAATATTTGATAAAAACTTTTAAAAACCATTTTTTATGCATTAAATACTGCTTATTGATGTATATTATTTAAAATTCAAGATTACAAGTAAACTGTGTGTATGTACAAGTTATTAAATATTTATGTTTGAATTCGTGTAACTAACCACAAATAAACATAATTAAATAGAGGATAAACATCTCATTTTAAATATAAAAAATCTAAAATATAATTAGGATAATCATTGAGTTCTAATAAAATATACTTAATTATGATATTTATAAACAATTATACTATTAAACCAAAAATAAAAAAAATGAGTTAAAGAAATACAACAAAAAAAGATAATTTTTAAATAGTTAGTTTAGTACCAATATCAATATTTTTTTTTTCAAAATTTTATGATATATTTATATTTATATTTTATTCAAAAATAAAAACATATCGTTTTCAAAACCATATAAAACCGTATTATAACATCGACTGAAACAAAACAAAAAAAAAATACTAAAATCGAGATGTATTTTGTTGCATTGTACGAGTACTATTGTAGTTATTTTAATATATTAACTATTTATAAAATTAAGAAAATACATATAAAAACGACTTTGTAGGTGGGGCCAAGATTGACCATAGATCGGGAAAGGTTTCCACCCAACAACGTTTTACTAACGTTGGCCGGAGCAGGGCTGTTGTGGATGGGTTGGGCTGGTTTCAACGGCGGAGATCCTTACACCGCCAACATCGACTCCTCCATGGCTGTTCTCAACACCAACATCTGCGCCGCCACCAGCCTCCTTGTCTGGACCTGGCTCGACGTCATCTTCTTCGGTAAGCCATCCGTCATCGGTGCAGTCCAAGGCATGATCACCGGACTTGTTTGCATAACCCCCGGCGCCGGTCTAGTTCAAGGTTGGGCCGCAATCGTCATGGGAGTCCTCTCCGGCAGTGTCCCATGGTTCACGATGATGGTGGTCCACAAAAAGTGGACCTTACTTCAAAAAGTGGACGACACCCTAGGTGTCGTCCACACTCATGCGGTGGCTGGATACCTTGGTGGCATCCTCACCGGCATATTCGCCGAGCCCACCCTCTGCTCGCTCTTCCTACCGGTCACCAACTCACGAGGAGCGGTTTATGGTGGTTCGGGTGGTATGCAGATAGTGAAACAAATGGTTGGTGGTGCGTTTATCATCGGGTGGAACATAGTCGCAACGTCAATAATATGTATCGTCATCCGTTTTGTGATTCCGTTGCGGATGTCCGATGAGCAGTTGTTGATCGGCGACGATGCGGTTCATGGAGAGGAGGCGTATGCGTTGTGGGGAGACGGGGAGAAGTATGATGGGACAAAGCACGGGTTTTATTCTGACGATACCACACACCATCGGCAGACAAGCGGCGCTACACAGGTGCTCTAAAACCAAAATCCACCAATTGGCGTAAAACCGACACGCTAACATATTGAATACCACCATTGTAGTACATGATATGCTTGAGACAGTCTCGCTAACATGTACGTATTTGTACGGTGATTTTCTTTAATACAAATTTGATTAGTTTGGTGTATCAGATCAGCAATCGAGAACGTTACAGTTGACCGGATAAACTCGAGTTCACAACTAAAAATTATGAGATTTATTTGGAAGAATCTGAATATATCTACATTTAGCCAATCTGATCTAATCTAAGCTGAAGAATAGCGCATTTTATTTATGTTATATAAAGGCTAATTTCTCCAGATCTGAATGATGAACATACAGCAAAAATGTCACATTTCTGAGAGAATATTGCTGATTTTACGAAGCTCTTTCAGAGCTGCCATGGCTGTCATCTGTCCTCTGTCTACCAGCAGTGCCTTCTTTGATCCCGTTTCACCCTTTTCTTGCTGGATCACTGATTCAATTACCTGCATTTTTAACTGAAAATCAGTCCAAGAAACCTATGCTGTGCTGACTGAAAAAGCTCATCCACAAGTCCTTTTTTTCTAGCAACAAAAACTAGCTTGATGACAAAATGGTCATAATTCAAAAAATGCCACTGGAGGAGCTTATTGAAACGCTACTTTACTAGTTTTTCAAAAAGTTGGTTTATAGTTAACCAAACGAAACTTTTTCAATAAGCTCTGGCTTAAAACATGTTTTGTTGTTTGTATCCAATATCCACACCTGTTGGAAGTAATACCTGAAGATTTTCCACCATGGACTCGCCCAGATTCTTCAAGGAACACGTCGTATTTTGGTTTACGGATTTGACATCCATTGCAGAAGCCGCAGTTTCGCTATTCTGATCCTGTCCCACGATGGAAGATTTAGTCGAATCGGAAACACCGGCACCTTTCTCCGTTGTACTATTATCTCCTCCATTCTTTCCGAACTTCCAAAGCCACTGAAACTTTCCCGCTAATGATATCCTTTCTTTCAAATTCGATCCCAGCTTTCCGATAGAGTCTTCATTCTGCACTGGTGGTAATGGTGCGGGTTCTGGGGCTTCACAGACCGGTAAAGGCGAACTGACTTCTGGGATAGTAGCACTAAATGACTCCACTGGAGGACAATGCTCGGGACCGTTTTCTTCAACTGATATATTCGATGCCACACTGCTTCGCTCGGTATCGTTTTCATGGTCATTATCGTTAGCGTCACCACCAGTCGGGGTTGGTGGATCAGAGAAAACAGACGAGTTCTCTTCACTGCCACCGTTTCCGCTTAACGATCTCTTTGTGGAGTCATCTTTGCTCGCCAATTTCTCAATCTCTTCTTCTAAACCAAGCTGTCTAGCTAGATCATCGAGCAAATTCCTCCTAACGCGTGGCCTCGAAGGGCCTGTTTTTGCATGATACACCTTTGAAGAAGACGGATCAGATTCTGTTCGCAACAATTGCAACTTCACTTTCTCCGACCACCCTTTCGGTCGGTTCTCGACTTGTTTCTGTGGAATCGTTTGCTTTTCTTCTTCTTCCTTATGCAAAACCCGCCATTTTTCTTCCCAGTAGCTATCGCGCAGCAAACTGACTGGGGTTCCGGTTCCCGAAGCCGATACATCAAATGACAAACTATGACCTCGAGAAACCGTCAATTTGCTCCGATCAGAGACCCCATCACTATGCATCGCCGGGGGCATCAATCTCATAGAGTCAATTGCAAGCGCCACTAAAGAATTAGCTTTCTTCATCAATTTCCCTAAATTTACATCGTTTGGAAAGTTCAGTAATCTCTGGAGGCAGGAAGTAGCGGTTTCGGTGGCAAGAATTGATGATCTAATGTAAAGAATCATTGAAACCGCAAGTGCCGCAATAAAGGCCCCCCGGGACGAATTGAGGCCACCAAAGCTTAGATCGGGATCGTTTTCAGAAACCACGTCTAGCCTACGGTTATCAAATGAAAAAATCGCATCCCAAATCACTAAAAGGTCCGCGAGAGCAAACTCACGCCCGTATAGAACCCGTAACCAACGAAGAGCAAAATACTGTGGTTCAACTCCAAGCTCAACGAGATGAGTGTAAAGAGATGAATCAACCACTGCAAGCAAATGGTATAACACCGAAGACGCTTCGATTACAGGTGGCAGCCCGTTTTGTGGTCCATTTAGAGGAGGCGGGGAGAAAAAATTTGCCATCGCAACCGCACCACCAGCCCCATTCATCAATGCATCAAACATACAGTACGCATCATGTTCCATAAATCTCTCAGATAAGACGATACCCAATTCGCCCTCGGCCCCATAAGCATCGCTAAACAAAATAATGGTTTGAATCTTAGGATCGAGTTCATCAAGGTTATTAACCGTCACTTGATTTTCTTGGATTCCGCTATCGTCTTCTATATGTCGAGATATTTGTTTTAAATTAGACTTGTAAGCGGAATCAGTCTCGTGAAAGGAGAGGCCATCAAAATTATCGGTGAAGTAATGTTCGTACAATTTTCTCACCGCCGAGAGACGCTCTACATCGGCCTGGAGAACAAATAATAGCGGAGCCAAGAGTTCGTGCATCCCTACAAATAAAACCAGTCGGAAATTACAGAAATGAACAATTAAATATGTACAAATTAACCAAAAATTACAAGAAACAAGCAAGCAGACTAGGAGCATAGGCGACAAGTAAGTGTAAAAGCTACTACTAGCGTACAAACGAGGAAGAAACACAAAGTGCAGTACTGACGGCTACTGGTACCGGAAGAAAAGCGAAGACTAGTGTACAAATACAAAACGCAAAGCACAGTACCGACAACTACTAGCGGTAGAAGAAAAGCTAAGGCTAGTGTATAGCAAATTGTTTTCTAATCCTAGATCATAAGTAATTAGGGGATTATTCATCTTGAAGTAAAAGATTACCTTGCCGGTAACCATAGTTTGGATGATGAATACACCAAAGCAACAAAATCCGTCTTAACATGGCTTGGCATCTGGGGGTCTGGAAGTAGCTACCATGTTCGGGATACAAGCGTGACAAGTCCTGGTCAACCATTTTCTCTAACTCGGCTTTTTGAAAAAAGCGGCCCCACGTGCTATCTGTGTAAACATATCAGGTGTCAATAACAGGTCAGAATAATCAAGATTTCCAAATAAGGGAAGAGTATCACTTCATAACATATACTCCGTCCTTAGCAAGAAATATACCTGGGTCTTGCGATAATGGATTGTCCATAGTGAGATCCGGAAAATCGCTTCCATCTTTAGGGATAAGAGGATCAATCAGAAGCCTTCTCCTTAAAGCAGCATAGCTGCGAAAACAGAACATTTATATTGATGTAAGAAATGATCGTGCATCGGTTCAAACATTAAAACTAGAAAATTTCTAAGCAAATTCCAACACGAGAAACTTTAGATTTTAGAAAATTGATTCAAAAGCCAGGGTTTTCATGCAAATAGCCTCCTTGTCTCTTGAAACATATGTAAGGTTTGAGTACATCCTATCTCAAAATCCTACCTTTGGGTTATTCAAAACCCAACTAAGCCTCCATGTCTCTTCAGCTAAGGTCTGTGTGCAACCTGACCGTACCTCTGGTTGGGATATATTTGGTTTTATTCAAACCAAACCAACCCAACGAGCCCAATATATCCCACCTAGACATGGGTTCCAAGGATAAGACTTACCTCTACCGGCTGTATCCACGAAGACCCCTGGCCTATGTGCGAAACAGATGGAAATTTGGGTTTGGTTTTTATTCAAACCCAACTACCAAACTTCCAATTAAGTCATAGCAGATCAAGTAAATTAATAACTATAAGTTACAGAAAAGGAACAGATTCACCAAAAGTATAAGAAACTATAAAGAAAGCATCATTAATTACACAAAAAAGATGTAAGGTTTTTAAAGATAATAAATAAGAACAATAGATCAAAGCCGCCATGGTTGATCAGATATTCGTATGAAGCAGTGTCATTTATTGAAGAAATCAAATATGGTACTCAATTAGATCCACAAATTCACCAACTTATCTCTTAAATTCTACAGAAATTTCGTATCTTTAAAGAATTAAATATACCTTCGACGTGAATTGGCAGTAACACGACGAACATCATCGACAGATGAAGAAGAGGGCAAAACCCCCAAATCAGTACGCCACTGAACCCCTCTCAGGTCCCAAAACCGGCGATTCTTATCCAAATCACCTCTCTCCGGTGAAGACCTCGTCGACAATGAAGATTCCGGCAATGTCTTCGTCGTCGGTTCAACCAGAGCCGCCGGTGACATAATCTTATTTGACCAAAATTTCACAAAACCCTAATGATTCAATCAAAACCCAAAACCCCCAATTCGGTAAAATTGTATCAAAATGTTGGTTAAGATGAGCAAGAGCAAGAGCAAGAGCAAGAGCAAGAGCAAAGAGTTGAGCAGCAAAGCCGTAGGTAGTTGTGTGCAAATATATAAAACAAAAATCACAAATTATTTATGTAAACAAGAAACAAATCAGGGAATCGATGAACGGATAGATAGAGAGAAAATTGAGTAAATTATACAGAAAAACTTACTTCCATCTTAAGAAAGATTAGGGTTTGGGAAAATTCTTTAGAAAGAGTAAAATCAGATCTCATGAAATACAAAGAATTGAGAAGAACACATAAAGATACGAAGATTTGAAACGAATTAGAAGGAATTTGTTGAGTGTTTTTGATTTGATTAGTGCGAAGAAAAAGGGGGATTGATATGGAAGAAAGCGTGAGCTGAAGAAGAATGATTCCCCATATTCTGAATTTTTGTTAATGTTCTTCCTAGAAAAAACAAAATAAAGGTGGTGAGTGGGCAGTCCTTGTCAAGACATGAGACTTGATTATGTTTCTCCTCCTAATTGATTAATTTTATAAGCTAATAATTTAATGATATAAAGTTGTATTGTGATAATTTTGTAATTATAAATGTTCAGATTGTAGATCTAATCTAAGAATTGAGAATTGATCTTACGGGTCTCACGAAAACCCTTAGCTTCACAAGATCTCAAGTGTATATATATATATATATATATATATATAGGGTTGGGTTCACGTGAGACCAAGGGTTTTTCGTGAGACCCGTAAGACCAATTTATGTTCATTGATCAACTTTATAAGATAATGATCTAATGGTCTAAAGTTGCACGGTGACAATTTTGTAATTATTGAGAAGTCTCGTGGCATTTATGAATGTTCAGATCCGACGATTGTAGATCTAATCCAAGGGTTGAGAATTGGTCTTACGGGTCTCACGAAAAAGCAATGGTCTCATATGATCCCAAGTCTATATATATATATATATATAGGGGCCTAATCAAATGAGAACAAATTAGTTTGTGGTAACTGTGAGAACCAATATTAACCACAAATCAATAGATAAATWAGRAAATTTATAATTTTGGCAATTTTGAATTAAAATTTTAATGCAAGGATATTTTTGGTATTTTACAACTTTCCTCCCTCCTCTCTTCTCTCTCCGGCCACCGTCCTCCGGTGATAC